TTGGTGTTTTGGAGACCAAAATAAAACTGATTAATGAGAGTAAAATATGTGCTCAATGTTTTGGCAATTGGTCTATTTTATCTAATTCACAACCAACTGAAACTGGTAGGGTTTGGGTGTGCTGGAATAATGAATTTTGTGCTGTCCAAATGATTTTTATGTCCAATAAGCATATTTTTTGTAAAATCAATGATTTGGCTGCTAATGAGGAGTTTTTTGCAACTTTTGTTTATTCTAAAAATAAGCACATTTTGAGGAAGAATATTATTGAAACTATGTATCACATCTCCCGTACTAAATCCAAATCTCCATGCATCTTTTTGGGTGACTTTAATGCTATCAGATATCCGCAGGAAAAAGTTGGGGGATCTTCAGGGTGGACTAGTGACCAAGAGGAATTTAACACCTATGTTAATGCTTTTGAGTTGGTCGATTTATCTTATGGGGGCTACCAATTCACTTGGGTTAATAAAAGGGTTGATCGGGCCTATATAGCCACTAAAATTGATAGAGTTCTTGTTAATGAGTCCTGGCTTGACAAATTTCCTGAGTCAACTGCATCTTTTCTCCCATCTGGTATATCTTACCACTCTCCTGTTGTGGTCAATATCAGTGTCCCTAAGAGTTCCTTTAAAAAACCTTTCAAATACTTTGATTTCTGGTCCCAACATCCTGAATTTCTCAATACTGTGTCTAACAGTTGGGATCAGTATATCAGAGGTGTCCCTATGTTTAGGGTGTATCAGAAGCTGAGACAGCTTAACGCTAGTCTCAAAATTTTGAACAAGAAGGACTTTAGTGATATCTCAATTCGTGTCCAAGCATCCAACGCTAGTTTGGATCTTGTCCAATTCAAGTTGGATAGGGATCCTGTGAATTTGGAGGTTCAAGTTTAGGAGAGAAAGTAATTTAAAAAATACCTTAACCTTAGCAAAGTGGAAGAGTGCCTTGCTCAACAAAAATCCAAAGTTCAATGGTTGGGTCTTGGTGATAGGAATTCTAAATTCTTTTTTAGAAGCATCAAAGGTAGAATTAACAGTGTTGTATTAAACAATGGTGTTAAGATTACCAATTGTGATGATGTTCAGGCTACCTTTGTCAATGCTTTTACTGACCTTTTTGGTAAGCCTTTCTCTGATGAGTATCATGGGTACGAGAGAATCAATTCTCTCGTCAAGAATAGAGTTTCTAGTTGTCAGTCTGAGATGTTATCCAGTGAGGTTACTGATAAAGAGATTTATGATATTTTTTGGTCTCTTAAATCCAATAAAGTCCCTGGCCCGGATGGTTACTCTGCTAGCTTCTTTAAGAAATCTTGGGAGGTGGTTGGCAAGGAGGTCACTGAAGCCATTAGATCTTTCTTCAGATCTGGTGAGCTTCTTCAAGAGCTGAATAGTACTACTATAGCTCTCATCCCTAAGATCCCTAATGCTAAGAAAGTTGGGGATTTTAGACCCATATCTTGTTGCAATACGGTGTATAAATGCATTTCCAAAATTATTGCTAACAGGATTAAGGTTGTGTTACCTGATTTGGTCGACCCTGTGCAATCGGCTTTTGTTCAAGGGCGGCGTATTTCCGATAACATCTTCCTTTCGCAGGAATTAATGAGAGGCTATCATAAGAATTCTTCCACCCCTAAATGCACCATGAAAGTGGATATTATGAAAGCTTATGATAATGTTAGATGGGACTTTGTTCTGGATGTTCTTAGAGCTATGGGCTTTCCTCCTGTCTTTATCCATTAGATTAAGGCTTGTATGACAAGCCCTTCTTTCTCCATTTGTCTCAATGGTAGTCTCTATGGGTACTTTAAAGGGGCTAGGGGTCTCTGGCAAGGGGATCCTATATCCCCTTACTTGTTTGTGATTGTGATGGAGATCCTTGCGAGAATTCTTGCTGAGAAGTCTACCCTCCCGGATTTTAGATTTCATTGGCGGTGTGAGAAAACGAAGATCATCAATCTTTGTTTTGCCGATGATCTTATGATTTTTTGTAGAGGTGATGTCTCCACTGTTAGAGTCATTAAACAAGGTCTGGATGAATTTCAATCCCTCTCGGGGCTCTCTCCTAGTCCCAGTAAAAGCCACATATTTTTCTCTGGGTGTAACAGTTAGCTTAGGGAGAATATCATCAACATTGTTAATTTCGCTGAGGGTGTCTTTCCCGTTAGATACTTGGGCGTCCCTCTTATCACAACTAAGCTGAAGGCCTCGGATTGTCACCAATTGGTGGAGAGGATCACCAAGAAAATTAAGAGCTGGACCAGTGAATGTCTTTCCTATGCTGGTAGGAGTCAATTGATTCAATCTATTCTCTTCTCTATGCAAGTGAACTGGACTTCCTTGTTTATTCTTCCTAAGAAGATTATTAAGGAGATTGAGAGCCTCTTAAGATCTTTCTTTTGGTCTGGTAGTGTGCTTAGTAAGTTTGGGGCTAAAGTGTCTTGGGATCAGGTTTGTGCTCCTAAGAATGAAGGAGGTTTGGGATTTAAGTCTCTGGATGTTTGGAACAAAGCCGCTATGGCTAAGCATGTTTGGTTTTTATTCTTGGGTGGTGTGCAATCTATGTGGTGTCATTGGGTCCATTCCTATCTTCTTAAAGGTAGAAGCTTTTGGAGAGTGAAAGTTCCTAGCGACCCTTACTGGGTTTGGAGGAAAATCTTATCGCTTAGGCCGCTTGTTTTCCCCCTTATTAAACACATCATTGGGGATGGGGGCAATGTTTTTCTGTGGCATGACAATTGGCATCCATTAGGTTCTTTGTATGATAGGTTTGGGGCTAGGATTATCCATACCCTTCCTGATAATTCTAAGGTCAATGTTATTGTTGAAAATAATTCCTGGAAATGGCCTCGGGCTGCTTCTCAGGTATTAAAGGAGTTAATTGACTCCACTCCCCCTTCTCTAGTTCCTCGCCATGCCACTAACAGAATTGTTTGGCTCCCTGCTACTGATGGCAAGTTCTCTATTAATTCCACTTGGAATCCCTGGAGAAAGTCTTTTGCCAAGGTCTCTTGGGCAGGTCTGCTTTAGGGTAATCATAGTATCCCGAAAGCCATTTTTGTGACTTGGATGGCTATTCATGGTCATCTTTACACTAGGGACAGATTATCTCGTTTTGGTTATACACATACTGGTAATTGTGGTTTCTGTCATAACCATTATGAGGATCACAACCATCTTTTTTTCCACTGTCCTTTTTCGGATAATGTTTAGAAGGAGCTTCAGTCTAGGATTACTGTATCCTGGCCCTGTCTTGAATGGCCTGAATTGGTCAATCATATTTCTTAACTTGTTAAGGGTAATTCTGTGGGTGCTATCATTTCCAGACTTGGGTTCACTTGCACTGTTTACCAATTGTGGCTTGCTAGAAATAACAAAATTTTTAACAATGATGCTTACCCTGAAGATGTTGTCATAAAGCGGATAATGGATATGATTAGGTTTAGAATGTTGTCCATAACCAACTTGAAAAATCATTCTAATGACAGCTGGTTTCTAAACAAGTGGAGGCTACCTATTTCTATCTTGAAAGAGAGATGTAGTGATGGTAGCAGAAGAACTTTGAGTGATGTAAGATCAGATAATGTGGGTTGAAGCACAAACTGTGGGTTATATAACTGTTTACTAATTTTGCAGTGCTTACAAGCTGGATTGAGTGTTGCTATTTACCATAAATTGAGGGTTGAGTTTTGGTAGCCAAATACACCTTCCATTCCATTGTCCACAGAGTGTTTTCTAATGGTGACAAATATATATATTGCTGTTACTCTTTTTTGCAGGTGTTTGACGAGGCTGAAGTTGTATAATGGGGCCTTCTCTTGTGGGTTGAGTGTTGAGAGACTTATATTGAGTGTTATTTGTTATCTGCCGAGTGGTGTGAGGCTATATATTGTGGGTTGAGTGTTGTGAGCCCCTACATTATATGTATTATACCATTTGTCCTTTACATATTCAGGTTTCTGTTTGGCTGCTCTCTCATTATCTATATGGTTGGACAGGTTTTATGGTTGCGGCTGTTAAGGATGATGGCAGGTTTACGGCTATTTTGCTGCTGGTGTTACGTCTGTATAGCTGTTTTGGGTTTCACTAACCTTCCTAGCTTGAAGATGGAAGAAGCACTTGTAAAGAATCCTGGTTATAAGATGTGCTTACATAAAAGCTGCTGGGTGTGTACATTTTCGCTGCTGCTGGCAAGTGTAATAGCAAAGTGAAGGCCATGTTTTCGTCTTTTGTGACGAAGAAAGTTGTTTTTGTTGTTTTGTATATTTATATTTTCCGAATTTGTATCAAATTCTCTAATCTCCTTTTGAGCCTACCCTTGAGGGATGTGCAAGGGATGTTATTTCATTTAGGTGTCTTTGCTGATAGGTATGTTCATGGCCCATATATTTTGTCTATGGGGCCCATGAACATTCTCTTTGCATCAGCTAATTCTCTTTTGCTTAGGGTGTTGTTTGTTGCTTCTGCACATATTTCTATTAGGTTTTGGTTGAAGTTTTGATGTTCTAGCAGGTTGTTTGTTTTGGTCCTTGTGGGCCCTCATCCTTTCTGGGACGGGTCTGCATTGTTGCTGTCCAATTTTTATTAGTTATTGTATAGTTCTGTTAGGGCTTGGGGCATGTCCCTTGTATTTTGTATAAGTTTTTGTTTTTATTTTATGACTTGTTCACCCAAAAAAAACTAAATGATAAAATTATCATGCTAATTATCCAACATACACACACAAGACCTCAAGTACAACTCTAGGCCACACACAATATTAAGGGATTCCTACTCCAAATCAAGAAAAGGGGTTGAACTAGGTGGTTAAAGTCACATTGAGCTTCAATCTCTAGATACTCTCTCAATTCATCAATCTTCTTCCTTGCAGATCTTCTCTCTTAGTTCCTATTCTCTTCACACTTCTTTCTCAGGAGATATTTTGATGAGAAAGCTTCTAAGTCCCAAGTTCAAAGAGACACTTATAGATATACATATATAAAGGTTGAATAAAGACAAAATTTAAACAGTTTAATCATTCCAAGTTGAAATTTCACAGAAAATCATATTATGACTTAAAAATCATGCTGATCTCAAATGTAAAATCAATTTCAGATTATTAAATTTCTAAGACCTTCAATTTCTATTCTAATCATCTCAATTGTAACAGATTTTTCTCCTATTAGATAGATATGCATCTATATTCATATGATTCACTTAATTAAACTTAATTTCACATAAAATTTCACAATAAGCATTCAAATGCACATAATAAGGGACTGAAAGCATACCAAAAAACATATGCGAGGGTTGGGTTATTACAGATTGACACTAATGCATTCCTAGAAATTGGAGAAGTTGCAGCCGATGTTATTGTGCCAGACTTCCAGAACTTATCCTTGAAGGAATTAGAATAGGTCAATGTGCAAATGCATGTTGCCAGCCAGACTACTGTCAAGAAAGATGCTAAAAGTTCACCAGCTGTTAAACAGGGCTTTGTAGACCAGAGGGAAGACTCTAATAAGGAGGCACTGGATGATGATTCTTTAAAGGCAGCTGTCATGCAAAGAATGTATCCCAGGTGCAGGTTGAGCTATAAGTGGTTGAAAGGGCTTCCGATTGATGGGAAGCAATATTACAAAGATGTGCAAAGGCATTCTAAACCAACCAGTGCCTATAACAAAAGACCATATCCAGCTGGTCCTAGGCAACAACCATTCATAGCTGGGTCAGCAGTTACTAGAGTGCACTCCAAGGGCAAGGGACCTCTACATGAGTTCAGACCACCCAACTATTACAGAATGGAGGACAATTATCCTGAAAAGAGACCTGAAGTGGGCTTAAGTTATGGGATCAAAGCCAGAGATTGGCCCCCTAGACTAACCTCACACAGAATGGAAAGTGGCCACCTTCATGGAAGGCCTGAATTAGGCCCAAAACAGGGAGTCAGGGCCAAGCAGTGGCCTTCACAGGCAGCTTCGAAACTGGCTTCAAAGGAAGAAAGGGACAGTTCAACAACTGAGTTAGTGGGCTCATGGGTACTTGGAGTTCCAGAATGGTTTGTTATGCAGAACAAGCCTAAGGAAATACCTACCTAGAGGAATGTTGTTGCAGACCAAGGTAGGATGGTTAAACCTTCCTTGGTGACTCCAAATAATTGAGTGTTACTAAAGCATCCAAAAACAAAGGAACCAAATATGGTCCCAGTGATTTCTAGATCCCAAAGGAGGAAGATCCAACGAAGGTACACTTAGTACCAGAAAGATCTGAAAGAGAGTGGAGAAAGCTCTTAATTGTTCCAGTCAAACGGCCAGACAGAGGCAAAGAAAAGTCCAAAGTTAGAACATAGTCTAAAATCAACTCCTCAAGACAAAATGAGCTGCAGTAGAAAGCAGTTAGCCAAAGTTCACTCCGAACTTAAAGCCAAAGAAAGATCCAGTTTAGTAAGATTGGAAAGGGCTTTGATGGAAAGTGATAGTGAGACAAAGGGAGAAGTTGGCTTAGGCCAAAGGAAGGAGATGGTTGAGGAGGAAATGTTCGAAGCCTTCATGGCTGAACAAACATTTTTGGTCAAAAAATCAACAGAAACAGACCATTCGAAGAAAGTTACTAGTACTGAAGTGCCAGAATGCAGCATGGAAGATGTTTCTGAAGTAATTGAACAAGTTGGCCAGGAAAAGAAACAGGTACAGCCAGTCGTCCAATTTGGCTTGTTTCCTCCAGTATTAGTGAATATGGTACATATACTACCACAAGAGTTCCAAGCTGAAGATGAAAACCAAGAAAGTCAGGATATTGACCCAATTCCAGTTTCTAGTGAAGACTCACAAGTGAGTATGGTGCAAGACGAATCCGAAATGGCCACACCAATGGAAACTGGAGATGAGAGTGAGGAAGAGGTGAGTATTAACCTCTCATACCCTTTTGAGTATCCCACAACATCCATGGCACAGCATGTCAAACCCTTGTATATTAAGGCCTTCTTCGATGAGATACAAATAAACCGGGTATTGGTGGATAATGGGGCAGCAGTAAACCTACTTCTGAAATCTTTTTTGAAGAAACTAGGAAAGAGGAACCCCAGATTAATCCTAACCAGCACAACCATTGTTGGTTTCACTGGAGACAAACAGATGGCTTAGGGCATTTTGCCCATCAGCCTGAGTGTAGGAACCAGGGACTGCATGACGGCATTCTTCATTATCAACAGCAATGCTAAGTATAATGCTCTACTTGGTAGGGACTGGATTCACACCAACAAATGTTTGCCTTCTTCTCTACATCAGAAGATAATGATGGCCTTGTGCAATGAAGAGACAGAGGAGATCAATGCAGACCCTCAACCCTTCATAGCTTGTGCAGATTTTGCAGATGCCAAATTATATACTGAAGGAGTGACACCACTCAGTATACTGAGAAAACCTGATGGATCAGCCGAAGTGACGGCTGATGAGAAATTAGCACAACTGAAGCACTTAGTCCAGGAAAGTGCTGATGAAGAATTTATCGCCAATGATGACAATGATGCCTAGTTGTAGGCAAAAAGATGGAACCTAGAAGGCCAGATCTTTGGATTTAATTAAGTTTTCAGTATTTGACATAAAATCAATAGTCTAGAAGGTGCAAGAGCAAGAGAAAGAAGCCATGGTAATTGGCTGTAAGTAGGAGCAGCAATAGGTCAGGGTTTTGGCCTTGGATAAATACTGTGCATTGGACATTGAAACGAAAGTCCAGGAGATACAGGAAAAAGAAGCCTTATGGACAGACTTTGTCTATGAGGAGAAGGGCAAAGATATTGAATCAAAGCAACTGAGAGCAGGACAAAGCAAGGAGATTGCTTCAAATACAGAAGAAATCAACAAAGAAGCATCAGTGAGTTCTCAGATGCAAGACCCTTTGAAAGAAGTGAACTTAGGGGAAGGTTCTATACAGCAGCCCACCTATATAAGTGCTTGGTTAAATGCTCTTAATAGGGACCAGTTGTTGGTGGTTTTAAAGAGATATAAAGATTGTTTTGCATGGTCTTATAATGAACTACCAGGATTGGATAATTCATTAGTAGAACATAGGCTCCCTATGAGGCCTAATTTCAAGCCATACAAGCAAAAACTAAAAAGGATGAGTCCTGAAGTGATTCAGAAGGTCAAGGAGGAAATTCTTAGACTCCTCAAGGCAAGCTTTATTAGGATAGCCAGGTATGTTGAATGGAAATCCAATATTGTGTCTTTAGTTAAGAAGAATGGTAAAATGAGGATATGCATCGATTTCAGAAATCTGAATTTAGCAACTCCAAAAGATGAATATCTTATGCCCATAGTAGATTTATTGGTGGACAGTTCAGCAGAGCACAAAATTTTATCAATGATGGATGGGCACTCTGGTTATAACCAAATCTGCATTGCATAAGAGGATATCCACAAGACAGCATTCAGATGTCCTGAGAACATTGGCATCTTCGAATGGGTTAAAATGTAATTTGGTCTGAAGAATGCTGAGGCTACATATCAAAAGGCTATAAACACTATTTGTCATGACCTCATTGGAGGATATTTAGAGTTTTACATTGATGACATTGTGGTAAAATCCCAATCCATGGAGGAATATTTGTTTCACTTGGAAGCAACTTTTGAAAGAATGAGAAAGTTCGAGTTGAAACTTAACCCTCTCAAATGTGCTTTTGGCGTATCAGCTAGAAACTTCTTCGGCTATGTAGTACACAAGATGGGAATACAGATTGATCAGAACAAAGTCAAAGCTATCATTGAAGCCAAACCTCCATCAAGTAAGAAAGAAGTACAAAAATTTCTTGGACAGGTTAATTTTCTTCGAAGATTTATTTCTAATACTGCAGGGAAAACTAAAGTATTTTCTTCCTTATTAAGGTTGAAAGATGAAGAGGAATTTGTGTGGACAGCAGAGCATCAAACTGCTTTCGAAGGAATCAAAGCTTACTTGGCCAACCCTCTAGTGTTGATGACATCAAAGAGTGATAAGCCCTTGAAGTTGTATATAGCTACGGCAGAAGATTCACCGGGAGTTTTCTTAGACCAGGACAATGAAGAAGGCAAATAGCAAGCAGTTTATTACCTTAGTAGGTTTCTAAATTCTTGTGAATGTAAATATTCAGCTGTAGAAAAGCTGTGTCTTACACTGTATTTTACTGCAATGAAATTAAGATACTATCTTTTGCCTACACTTGTCTTTGTAATTGTAACCACAGATTTGGTTAAATATATATTATCTAAACCTATGTTGAAAGGAAGAATTGGCAAATGGATACTTGCTTTATCAGAATTTCATCTAGGATATATCCCCCAAAAAGTAGTAAAATGACAAGTTTTAGCTAATTTCTTGGTAGATCATCCATATCAAACAGAAAGCCAAGAGATAATGAAACTTGGTATGATTAGTGTAAAACCATGGCAAATGTGGTTTATTGAATCAAAAGTCAATAGTCTAATTGGAATTGGTGTGGTGATTAAGTCACCACAGGGGGTAGAAACCACACATAGTTTCAGCGTG